GGAATTGAAACTTTAAAGGATAGAATTATGGAATATCAATATATTGCTCGTCAATACAAAGATCTCACTAATTCTGCCACAAATATCAAGTTCATTCAGGATAAATTAGCATCTAGTGTCTCAAAGGAACAACGGCTCTTCATGTGCATTCTTCTCGGATCTTATATGCTTCAACCAAACAAACCAATAATAAACGGCTGTTATCTTCCACAGAACTTTCCGTCTACTAATTTGCTAGAAGATCTTGAAAGTATAGATTCTGATTTTAGTCTCTCTGATACTAGGCATCTTGTTTCACATGCGATTAGAGCTTTGGTCCAACACAATTCTAAATATGGCTTCACAACATGGTTTAAAATGTTCACCCTTGCACCAATACTCGATGAGTCATATGCTTTTATAGACGCGATAGAAGTTTATAATTTCGAAAACCGATCTGATCAATTTCTTAATGCGTTGGAAGACAATGTGAAGCCTCATATTGATGAGCTATTTCATATGAAGAACGTATTTTATAAAGTTATACAGGTAATAATGTAATATATAACAATTACTGATGTAATTATCTTGTTAAATGTGTTGAAACTTAAGTTTATTTCTTTATAGAAACTAGTTTCATTATCGTATGGTTTGGAAAGTCTTTTATTTTTGTGGGAAAAAATTATCGGGCTTGAAAAAACAGATGATCACTTGTGCAATACGATGAAAAAAAGAATTGATGAATTAATAAAACATGACAATCCTTCTCAACTTAAAGAGCACTTTTATATTTTCCCGGAGAAGTTGCAACTTGATGTCGCACAAAATTTCAGGACCAAACTTTTGAAGTTGCTAAAAGAAAGGAACTCAAAATGGAGATGGGAAGATCAAGATATCGCATCCTTTCAAGAGCTTCTTCAAGAGACTAATTTACAGTGGCCAATCGAAGAATACCCTCAAGTACTTGAATCAATTGCGGTGTCCGATCAAATACTCGTATCGGAATCTTTTCCTGAAGTTATGAAATTTATCTTGGAATCCAAAGTTACTGGAAGAAACCTTGACTTAATTTTTGAATCATCAGTCAAATGGTTTGAAAGGATGGTCTCTCTTCGCACATCCAGTTTCATTGCTACTCATGGTTCAAATGCCAAAGAAAGTATAGCATATATAGTCTTTTATTATCTTTCTAAAGTATATCCGCTTGTTTCGCATCGCCAAAAAGTTTCTTGTAGATTGAAAGATCATGCGGATAAAATAATACTTTCGTTAGCCAATGATGTTATTTTCCCTCTTGCATCATATATCGATGAGTTTCATCATGACATTATTGATCATTTTGATACTTTATTGAGGCAAAAAATTGAATATTCTATTCAAGACCCGGATGATAAACTTTTAAAAATGATAATGCTCATATGTAATAGCAAAGTGTTTTTAAACGTAAGAAATGGGTGAGTAATAATCACTTATCTATACATTTATTATTAATATTCTTATATACTCTTTTGTTGTTTAACTAGCTTTTGTGAGAGTATACTATGCTTTATATTAGATCATCTCCAACAAAATGATAAAAAATTACATAATAAGGATGCATATCAACTTTCGCTACTTCGATTTTCGCAATTTTGGACAGAAATATTTTTAGCGAAAGGCCACACAACTGAATTACATTCTCATCCACATGTTAAAAATGTGCGCGGTCACGTAGTTAATATGGCAGCATCAATTGCTGAAAATACGATTACAATGGGGTTTCTTCAGGAATTATTAAGGCATTCGGGCGATAAAAACGATGATCTTATAAGATATTTTAATTCCGCAGTAGAAAATCAATCAGGAAATGCTGAGCATCTTATAATAACTGATGAAATTCTCGCTGCTATACGTCGACAATGTCAGGAATACACGTCTACTTTTACGCATCTTGATAAATTTTATGAACGATTTTGTTCTTCTGCCTTGGTAACAGATGCTAGGAAATATCATGACGATCTGCTTCGTAGACAAGATAACATAAAAACTGTCACTCTTGAGGAATCGGGTACTCGAGACCATTGGTCGATTCATTCCACAACAATTGATGTTATGGAGACCTCTTATCACTTGGTTGAATCGCAAACCTTCAATAATATTTTTCAGGCCGCGTTAAAGGTAGAAACGCGAGAGCTGAATGTTGAAATTGTAACCACAGAAATAATTCAGATGGCTATTAAACAATATAATACCATATGTCAAGGATACGAAAAGTGTGAAAACATCAAATGCTCTGAAGCCAATGAATTTTGGAAGCACGTCGATCAAAATAATATTCGTTCTGAAATTAATTTCGTGACTCCTAACTGGGCTCGCACTCTCTCAAACAAGCAATTACAGCAGTTAATTTCTTCAGTGACTTACTTAATTAACATTCCAATATTGAAAGAAAAATTAAATAATCTTTTAATGGTCATACAAAACTTGAAAATACCACACAATCCAAATCACTGGGTTATAACATTTTCTAATTCATTAGGTGACGAAGATTTAAAACTTGGCAATTTACAAAAAATAATTGGAAATGTAAATATGCAGTTTAAAAAATTCAAATTATCGGAGGAGTTCTGGTCAATAATTAAGGAAATCGCTTGTTCGAAAGAATGCATTAATTTTCTACAAGAGCTTGTTGGTCATGATCTGAAAAATTTAATCAATGGTGCAGATGATCATTCCGATGAACGTTTAATCCAAGAAGATACCGTTTCAACATTTATTCAAGTAAAACAAATTTTGGAGCCTTTGCTAAATAA